AAGTTTTTAAAATGTGAACTAACCCTATATAATAATCCCAGAGATATGAATATAAACTTGTGGCATATTACGATGACCTCGGAGTATCAAAACAAGAAAAATCAAATAACTTGACTCGCTTTAAAAACACGCTTTCTCTCCTCAGTATTTACTCGTAGACTGGGCATAATTTTATTCGGTTGATTCCTGAAAGGTGTCGCAAAGATTCTTTTCACTGTTATTTTTGCAACCAAGCCAATCCGTGCAATCAGCTGTGCTACATGTGAGGAGCACAATCATATTCATTAGAATGCTACTAGAAGTTTTTCCATATAGGATAGAAAGTTCTTATTACCCATCCAATTCAGGCTTACAAATCATTATCAAAATACGACTTTCATATTATATTAAAATTAATTAAAAGCTCAGTTACAGCTTTCTAATGTCAATATCCCCAAATTACTCTGCTACACGCTCTGACTTTTGAGCAACGGTGTACTTTGAGGAGTATTGACTTAACTGATTAACTCTGTAAGGCTAATAGTAGTTCCAACTCATGTAAAAATTCTTCCAACAGTCCAACACACAGTGTTAGATAAATGCATAGGCCTGGTCGGAGATTTTCTGGTATACACGTACATACATACATACAGCCGTATAATTAGTTTAATATTGGCACTATAACTTGTGTGACAGTAACACAAGTAGACATACAAATACATCTCTATACATATATATCTAAGTATAATTGCGAGTTCCAACAGTCAAATCAAGTTCGTAAATCCCTAATAACGTCAATACGGATGAGCTGATCACTGTTCAGCCAACGAATATTTTCTCAGGCAAGGACAGTTGAAGTTTGTTTGCGATGTGGTGCACACGAACATTGGAATAGAAAGTGAATTTTTCGTGAGCATGCCAAACTGTGAATCATGCTAATAGTGGCACGATACAGGTCATAGTAGTTTGTACGCTACGTACGTATGTGTATGAATGGTTCTTCAATTTACATACATCCAAATGTGTGTGTGTTGGTTGTTGTTTACACTGTTAAGGTATCTCGCCGAGCTCATAATGATTCTGATTGAAAATTTGGTGAGTAGTGATGCGCTGATGCGATTTTTCCCATCACATCATTGACTGCGATCACATTGGTGCACTGCTAACGTATATTTCTAACACATTTGGGAATGCGATCGTTTAAGATGCTATGCCTCGATTTAAAGGAGGTCGAGTGTGAGAAGAAGTAGCTGATATCATGATGCATGTATATGTGTATAATACATACATACAAAGTATACAAATTTACCTACACATATGTATGTGCCAAGGTGGGAAGTGTTGAATGTGGTGCCAAAAAACCCTACTATGACAGTGTAATATACAGCAATTTCAGCGCTAGTATACATTCACTTAATTCGGTAACAAGTACAACTGTTGCACATTACCACACAACCGCGGACCTACCCATAGACATACCCACACATATGCAAGTGCGAATGTACATGCCCACACGTACCGTGTACCATGCTCCTCAATGCATCTACATGCATATACATATATGTACATATATGTGCTTGGGTGTATGCACTTCATACGGTACCATAAAACAACGGTTAGCGGATTGTGCTCATCTGCCAAGCTAGGAAAATGTGTGTTAGTATTTCGTAGGATGGCTTGGCATGGCACTAGTGGAATGGTAAAATCGTGGCGTAGTGGTGGCACGCTCGTCTTCAATTTTTCTTTGCCATTCGCCAACTTATTTGTTATTGCTATTGTTGTTGTTGTTACTGCTGTTCCTATTACTTTTGTTATGTAGTATGTGTGTACATGCAAAAGTAACGACGTTGTTTCGGTGTCTTCTGCTGGCGCGTTCGCCGCGTCTATGGCAAGCATCGCCGTCACCATCGCCGCGAGATGAGTAGTTGGCAAAAATGTTTGAATGCGATCACGAACTTGACCTTTCACATAACCTTTAAGGCAGTCATTCAGTCAAACCGCCGAAGAAGCAACAACAATCACAGAGACCCGAATCACATCAAGAAGAGCAGTATTAACAACAAAAACAAAAACGACAACAATTCTCCTCAAAAGAGCGTCAGCCTTAACACATCCTTTTTTGTATTATTTTCTATTTACTTATTAAATTTATCTTTTATATATTTTTTTGACTGCTTCGCCCGCGTTTTTCCCAACTACTGATGCTTTGATGTTAACGCTGCTGCTGCTGCTGCAGCCGCCGCTGCCCTCATTGTTCTGTCAAAGTTCCGCGGCTGCATTACCGGATGCGAATAAGCGAGCGAGCGTATAGGAGCGCTGCGCTTTGATAGCTAACAACTTTTGAATAGTTCGAGTGTGCAAAACGGGAATTCCGTGTCTGACCCAACACAATACTCGCACTTAGTCGCATCATTGGGAATCATATCACAAACATTTGACGAAAGGGGCAAGGACGTAATGGAAATCAAGGTGGGGACACATTGCTGTAAACATGGGCTTGGTGGCAAAAACAATTTGAAAAAGTCACAAAAAAGAACTTCCGAAAAACGAAGCGATTCTCACCAGCCCAAGCTGTTCACTTCTGAAAATTATGACAAAATGCTGCATCTTCGTTTCATAGTGCGGTTGCCGTTGGCGCGTTCGATTTTCTGTTTATTTGTTGTGCACATTTTGTGTTTAACCAATGGGAATGCAAAAATCGGCTGCATGTGACTTTTTGACGTGTACTTCATCAAACTTTTTTAGATGCCGCCTAATAGTTTACCTAACATTGTTACATTTGTATTTTTTAAAGTTCAACCTGATATCTGTTCAAAAGCGAAATTGAAATGTAGCATTCAGGAATATTTACATAAGTACTTTCATAAAGTCTAACTTCTTAATTCAATTTGTGATCTTTGCCACATATTTGGACATAAACTTATCTGTACATATATGTATATGTTTGTGGCACCGTAAGCATTGTCTGAAGCTGAATTATGGGTTATATGTGCTTTTGAATTTGTGGTCACTCGAAAGAGTAGCTATGTCAAGTTAAGAAAAAATTAAACACTACACTATGGCACTTAAATATAAGCTATAATATAATGTCCATTTAAAAAAAATTAAATTCGCAATAAATTTCTTTCAAGCAGCGGCATGCTCAAATTCATGAGAGGATATGTGTATTGTATGTGAGTTTAATTGAATTACATTTTTTACAATTTGTATAACTAAATTTATGTGCTATATATTGAATTGTATTAGTCAAGAAGTAGAAGCCAAGCGCGTTTACTGGGGGACCTGTCAAAGCCTGCATTTAATGAAATCGTGTGGCGACACCAATGACACCGACTACGGCTGCTACACATCTAATTGACAGTTGGAAGCTACGTGCATTTACCTTGCGGACTCCTTGGCGTCCAATCAAATGAAATATTTCGTCGTTAGTTGTATATTGTCATAGTAAGGGCACTTCAGGACTAGTGGACTGACTCGTATTGTGGATTTTTAACAAAGCTATACCATAGGGTAATCAACTGAACCACAATGTTATTAATTTATCGATTTAAAAACATATCGCTTGCCTTTTTCGAAGCACCAACCTTATTTTTGAACCTCCAATTAAAGAAGCTATTTCTTTTGGGCGAAAAACAGTTCCGTTTATTTTAACGTTTTAACACTATTTACTACATTTCACCAAATTGACCTAAGCCTTAATGAATTTAAATGCTGCTGGGTGTAAATGCCTTCAATTTCAGTCATTATAATTAGGCAAATGGGCTCTAAATTGTTCGTAGAGCGTACGTAGGGTCGTTCTAATACACACATATGTGGAATCTTTACGCATATACAAGTGTGTTCACTTTTGGCTCAGACTATTGAAGGTTTCAAGGTTTTTTCAGAGTTTCTAAATTATATACAAGTAAATACAGTATTGTGAAAAATCTAACTCACAGCGAAGTCTTAAAATCTCACAAACAGCCGACTTAATGTATGTAGATAGCAAACATATTATACCACCAAACAATAATTTAAAGCAACTTGTTCTATGTAAGCTAATTGTATAATTGCACTAATTGTGTCATTACACTTTTGAGTAATCGCTAATGGAGACACAATTACATAATCTCTAAAATCCGTTCTGAATCTCTATACATGGAAAACAAATGAACTACTCGATGAGCAGACATACTTGTATCGCCTCATTTTACCTTTCTGCCAATTCGATATGATATTAAATATATCTTTCTCTAGTTCCCCTGGGATTATTAGCGAAATCTGCTTGGAATAAAGCTAGTAAGGTGGATATTTGAAATCACTAATGATTTGTGTCATATGACTGCTAATTTAATTCACCATACCGTACATGTTTATGTGTGTATATTTTTAATACGTTTAAAAAACGTCCTCTTGACAAAATTAATGATGCCTTAGCTTAGTCGCGTTAATTATTTAATATCTTTTTAACATTCATGAATTTTGAAATGAAAGCATATACCACAAGTGTCGGGCGCCTTAGTGGTCATCACAGTTAGACGTGGATGTGCTACAAAAAAAGTAATTGCTGCTTTACGGTATCTTGGCATATTTTAAACGCTTGCGGATCTGTATGGCCATTGGCAGCAGTTTGGTAATTATTAATGACTATCGCCAAAGACAATCATTGTGTTATCGGAGATGATGCCACTATAACCAAAAAAAATTAGTCGCTACGTAGCAACAACCATTAACTTATGTGGGTATGTTATACGTATACGATACCATAGTCAGAAAATGCTGATTTAAAAAACTTAGAAAATTTCCCGAAGACAAATTAAACTCTGAGAAACTAACAATGTATAAAAAGCACTTCTTACCAAGCAAGTCAAGACTGGGTAAACGCAGTGTCTATTTCAAATACGTCTATCATGGCGTATGTACGACTTTTCAGAAATATTCGCCCATGTTAGTTTATTTGTTTGGTACAAATCACATTGTTTATAATTTAATTAATTTTTACTTTAAAATTTTCTCTTTTCTCGTGTTTGTTTATTTCTTACCTTGTACGGAACGTAAGCTAAGGTCAACTGGTTCCATTTGAACGGGAGGTCCCTCTGCCTGTAATGATAACGAAATTTATCTTAAATGAATTTAAAAAAATACTTACAAACTTTTATAAATTATATGTATAATATAGAGCGTAAATAATTTAAGAAAAATTGTATGGCGGATTTTCACTTTAAATGTGATAGATCTTCATCGCAGAATCATCAACTGAGTGTCTGTATATCTCTAAAAACAATTCCGATTTTTTAGTCGCACTCCCAATTTGTTGTTTCCCATTTTAATCAAGTAACAAAGCTTTCATGCCCACATACACGTGATATGTTACGCAGTTAATTCCGACCGTTTGAATTCACTGCCTTTGTCTTTAATTTTTGTGGTGCTCAAACACAAAAGTGCCAGTGGGAAATAAAAACAAAATGCAATGAACATCTCTAAAGTTGTAACGAAAATTATTAAAATGTCAACCGTGTCTACTTGAGTAGGCGATCCTAACAGCATGTGGTTGAAGCTAGCGTGATCTCTGCATCCCCATACATATCTACATGCATATTTCTATGTACAATTGTTATGACTGTATGTGGAACGACCCTGCAGGGACAAAAATCTTGCAAATCTTATATTAAATGTACGAACTGTTCTGTTGGAAAAATCACGTTGACCTACACTGCAAACGGTTCTACAAGTGAGCGATCCGTTCTTAAATTAATGGTGAACAAGAGCCGAAGGAAATGAAAGCGCGATATAAGGATCGACCCATGCGGGTGCTAATTACGGAATTTGACGATTTAATTTAGATCTTTATTTGCATATTTTCCATTTAAAATTCAAAGACATTCTTACCTAATCGCTGGTTGTGCAGAAAGCGCTTTCGTAAATGCTAAGCAGAACAGATGATGAAATTAACTAGCTAGTATAAGCTGAGCAGGTTTGCGGTCTCTTTCAATAGACGATGGCCAAAGTGCGATTGGCGTTTAATATATTTTATTATTTCACATGATTGCTGTGTGTTGACAAATAAACCCAGGTGATTTATAGTAGCAATTGCATTGAGTTACTGGATTGCATACGAGGGAGAGTACCCCGCACATGAACCGGAACGGCAGATTGCTTACATACTTGTATGTACGTAGGTATGTATGTGTATGAGTGCGTGTTTGCGAAAACATACAGAATAGTTAGCACATCAATGTCGGAAAGTGGAATATCGAAAAGAAGGAGATTACGCACTCTCGTTTCAAGCATTTACCACATCGCGAGCAACTAGCATACATAGTTTTCTAATTTGCCATAAATTATCGCTTTTAACCGAGCAATTCGAATCAATTTGTCGTTATTAATCGGCAAAGTAATTTCAGCATTGTAAAGAAAAATGATTGGACTCACTGCTTTGAGTCGATCGTCGTCTGCAGGTACTGCGAGAAGTGGCTAAACTGTTCACATAAGCGGCTAATGACATACCATAGTGATAGGCTCGGTGAAAAGAACACACCTAATCTTAAATATTTGCACACATCTTAGTTTAGGTAATCTGCGTGTTGTAATCTCAGGTTTAGTGTGGTAAAGCAATTCGTAGAGTTTAGATTGGCTGTGACAATTAGGTTTCTCGGTAATAACGGTAACTTTTATTCAGGAAAATCAAAATATGAACCCCTGACTCTAACTGTTATATTGCAATTATTGACCAACGGGGGGAGCAAAGCAGAGGTGCCAGGCCTAGGTAATCACCACCTAAAAAGTTGGCTGCATGTTAAAGATAAAACTATGAATAAAAATATACTCACCTCCTTCGCTGGCAGAGGGTCAGGTCCCAGGCCATTCTGAAAAGAAATGTAGGCATTAGCTTGCAAACTCTTGGATATGGTAAAAACAGAAGTTAAATACAAATGCAATGTGTGTACAGGTGTAGAAAAGAGTATGTGAAACCCGGATGTTGGCTAAATAATACTTATCATTAGAAGTCAAATTCAAATCGCCAAATTGTAATTATAGGAAATATATGATGAGAGTTAACCAAGCATTTATCGGGTTTACGCTTGACTATGCGAGCGAAGAGGAAATGGACGGCGTGTAAGGATAAAACTGCTGCTAAGCGTTATGCTTGAACACTCCTTCTATAGGAGCCTCACATCATTAATCTATGGTAAACAGTAGCGCTTGGACCATTGCAAATGGCAACCCAAATCACATCAATAAACTTGAAGCCTGCTCACTCATATACACATACATACATTTCTATAGGAATAGCTGCGTACAATGTTTCATATAGGTATTACAGACATACATACATATGTACATAAATTGCAACAGAAGTGGCATAAGATGCATGTAAATCTGGTTAATCTGAATGTAGAATAACAGTGTGCATTTAGCAAAAATATTCATACATAAATGAAAAATCATTGAAATATTCAAAAATGCAGTGGTACCGTTATACAATTATCTACCTATTAACCAATTAGAAGGCAGGACACGGCAGTGACCTCTTGAATTTGGCGACAATGAATAGAACTTTTGTAGTCCTAACTATAGATCGATTCAAGACATTTATGGAAGCAATTTTGTTAGTTGGAGCAACCACTGTGTCTCAAGTTTGAAGATAAAGACGGACGGATTGATTTTAGGTGGTGTAAACCGGGGTTAGTTGAGCAAACTGAAGTTGCAAATCCCTTAAAAAAAAAGAAGTAGTTCATTAGGTCCACAAGGAGGTATGGGAGGAGGTGGTGATCTAATGCGTGGCTATTCATCGAGTTCTTATATCTTTGAACACTGTTCTCCTTCGTAAGCTTTCGCGCATGTGCATTTGTTGGTATTTTTATTATTTCCATGTGGATATTTATGCTTGCATGCTACCGAAGAGTTAAGTGCCAATGTGGCATCGTACGCTCAAATATTCCTGTTCCTCACAACTAATCGTTGCAAATTGCCTCTTTGTGATTTAAGACTTTTACCAATAAAATTTTAATGACAACATTTAGCCAAGTTAAGCAAATGTAGAAGGCTCGTTTGGTATATCTTCTACCACATTTGCATTTAAACTGTGGACAAGCGCGCTTCGAACGCGAATTTGCTGCTACTGTGCAACATTAGGCGCAGCAGTAACTATAAAATCCATTTTCATGGATGTTTTAAGAGGAGAACTTGTAATGAAAGAAGCGAAAGAACAATGTGCGCATACACGTTTAATTTAATTTAATTCTAAAGCGTTTCGAATGATGGAAATCGAATTTTTCGACTGAGTATGAAATTAAGGATTAGTTAAGGGTGAGCGTATGTATGTATGTAGCACATACGTCTGCAAGTTTATATATAAATCTCGGTATAACTGCGGTAGACTTCTCAGGATTATTCAACACTCCAACGGAGGTATTGGACCTTCCGAATTGTGGTTTGAGTCTCAGCGAGCGCCTACCGAAATTTCCGAAGCAGACCGCTCACCGTTGTCTCGGACCAGTATAGGGCCTTGAAAATTACAAATTCAAATTAGTGAGTTTTGTGTGCTCATTAAGCATACCTTTTTTTGGCTTAAGAACTTGTTGTCTAATGCATTAAGCATTGATACTCAGACGGCCCCCAAAACGTCGGTAAAATTTATGGAATAATATTTTATAAACTCGAAATGAACGTTTGTGTGTATCAGAATTAGAATTGTTCTCTGTTGCCCCTTGGGCACGGGTGAAAAGGTGCAAATTCGTTTATGAGTCGCGCAATCATTCAACAAATTCTTCGGGCTCAGTCACCTGTGATCACTTTGCACATCTATTTTGAAGATCTTAAGAACGCCGACTGACTCTAAGGGGTAAATAGGTAAACACGAAGCTAGGATAGAAGCTCATAAACATATGTTGAGTAATAAGTACCGCTTTTCTGAGAAAACATGATTTATTCAAATATTAATTGCCCAATAAATAAATAAATAAAATAATTGCAAAAGCTCTAATAAACAAAATAAGGAATCAACTGAGTTAATAAAGCTGACAATTTTACAAATAATTCGTTTAAAAATAATATGGAAACGCAAACATTGTACGAGTATATGTGTGTGTGTGTTGCCAGAACTGTAGCAAGACAATGCTGATGTTGTTTATGTCAGTAGTGATCACTGAATGGTCGTATAAAAGCGATTTTCAGATGTCTAGTATGACATTTGTTAAATAAAATGATCATGCTGCTTGTATATTCCATCTGTCAACAGTGGCCAGCGGCTGTCTTCAGTGGGAATCTCTATAATAATTGGTGTAGTTAATCTGTGCAAAGTGCCAGCAGCTGTCAGTGCAACATAAGGCGCTGCCACTTTAAGTTCAAATCGGTGTTGATCCAAATGCCAATTGAATCGCTGCGAATTAAATGGAATCACACGGAGTGATAAGCTTTTTAAACTATAGTCGACCGCTGTGAGATTTATGGGAACGATTTTTAGCCGCAAGTGGCATTCCAATGGGCACTATTAACGTACCATGTGCTAAAAATCGAGCAGCCTCTTAGCGGTGTCAAGCACAGACAAACGGACGACCATGCGATCAAGCAACTAACCAAGCAGCAAGCTAACAAACTAACATGCCGGTTAAACTTCCAAATAGTCTTTCAAATTGGCTGCCAGTTATGTATGTATGTATATGAGAGAGTCGTACTAGTTAACAGCGCAACAGCTCAACCGCTCAACAGCACAGCTGCTGCACTTGATATTCAACGCTAAGCCAAATAAAGCGAAAGAGGGCAACACATCTTGTGGTGCATGCGACGCATAAGCACACATGCAACTTAAGCTACATTACTCCACATGTGCGGCAACGAACACGGTGTCAAAGTGTTAACGTCCAACGTAGTAAACAATGACACTCCATCGATCACAAATCAAGAACCAGCTAACATCAACGGCAGGAATAACCTTACGAGTCAAACGACTGAAAGCGGTCACTGCAAATGCGACGCACACTCGCATGCACCTACATATATACTCAACCATATCTATCTTTCTATGTTTGTTTGTACGAACAGAATGTTGCTAAACTTTTTTTTGTTTATGAGAAGTCGTTAGCGGGGCGCATAATTGAAATTAGCGAGTTGCCTAAAACGAGTGTAATGAGAAGAAGGATTTGAAAATGTCCAAGTATATAAATATGTATGTGCATATTCGACCTCTTTAACATCCCATTTCGTTTTTGTCCCATTTCGTTTTTGAAAATTGAAAATATCCATACTAACTTTGATTTACCCCCAAGAAAGCAATACTGCTCCTTCGATACATTCCAAACCTTAAGCTGTTTCTCATAGCTATTGAGATTCTTTATATAGAGATATATCTAGATTTAGATCTATACATACTTAGGAAGGGAGGGAAGATACTAAAGGGATCAGCAATCGTTTGCAACATGGAGAGTACTAAATAGTAGGAGCTCTTAACGTTAGCGATATAATCAGAAAGCGTTGCCACGTTGTTGTATATAAGAATATATGTAACATAACCTCTTGGTGGCTGAATAGTTGATGTATTGGTAAAAGTAGGGAACCAAATAGATATCAGGCTGATATCGATTGATTTGATTTCATCTCATCAATGTAGGTCAAAGTTTCTGCTAGATTAGGACTAATTAACTAATGAAAATTATCAGTTACAGTACAGCCGAAAATGCCTGTAAGGACCTTACATTAACTGCCGAGTAGCAAACGTCATTAAAACTTTTATATTGACCGCTGTGATACTCGAACAAGACTTCCTCGACCGTCGAATGCCCAAACTACTGTGATATAAACTTTTGTGTAGTAGATATTGGGCAGAATGCACTTGTCAGTGATGTGTGTCTATAAATGTATGTTTCTGATTTGAATACTAAAGAATAGGCAGTTTTTAACGCAGAAGTACCACGTCTAAACACGCTCTGATAACAAAGTCGACGTTACCTTGGAATGATATGCAAGTTTCATGCGTTGGCTACTTGTGACCTACAGGCTTTTTTGTTCTCTTTGTTGGCTACGGCTACCCACAAACACCAAGAAGAATCATTTGTACTTTTAAATAATTGTTATAATTTCTTATTTTACTTTGTATTTTCACCTCATTATATTTCGAGTAGTGTACACTTGATGGACTTCTTGACATAAGTGCCATGTTAAGCAATGAGTCGGAGCTCTGATGAAAAGATCGACAGGAGGACAGGCGTTTGCAAGTGAACAGAAACAGTGGCACTAGAGCTATCGTGATTCCATTCGGTTCGGTCGGTAGGTATTTGTTTGTACTCCCGTATGCGTAAGCGTATATAAGGAGGGTACAGTAAGTGTTGATGTTTGCATAAAGATAGGCGTGTGGACAAGAAAAGACAACGCATAAGTGTGGGCTTCATTATAACTCAGATACTATACTATTGTATACTATGTGTTGACTTTTACTCACCATTTGGGTGAAATCAAATTTTATTTAATATTTTTTACTTTTTTCTTGGCCAACAGCCTCACGGCCTAATGCTAGCTATATAAAATTTATATATGTAAGAACGAGAGCGTTCTACTGAGAATATAGCATCACCGCACATAGCGCCACTATCGCAAGAGAACTATATATACAGTGACTATTGTTTTGCGAACGCCAAATACTATGAAAATGGGACCTCGAATGATAAAATGACAATAATTACGATCACTTATTGGCAGCCCGATGATTCCTTATAAAATATTGAGCATGAGAAAGCTGTCGGCGCGACAACCTGCGCAACATGAGACCACTTCAGATCAGTGTTTGACATTGCTTAAGCGCAATCCGTCGTTTCGTAGTCGTCGAAAAAATATTGATCCATCTTGTATACACCAGAGACTGAGACTGCTACGAAGAAGGCAAAACCTGTTACATCCGCAGGAAGGCTAATGAACGTCGTTTTCTGGAACCTACCAGTTGTGTTCTACAACGTTCAACTATATCATCGCAAAACGCTCACAGAACTTTCCACCCTCATATGTAAACAGTTATGCTACTTTGGTGTGTTTACACATCGTTAAGATGTTAACTTAGAAAAGCCACTGGTTGATTGGTAGAGGATTGAGGTGATCGGTTAAACGAGAAGTTTGAAACTTTGTTAGCAGTAAAGTAGGGCCGTGGAGCGCCTAAGCGTCTATACACATATAGGGGTGGACGCTCATACGTAGTCTTCCTTAGGATGGGGAGGGTGCTTTGACTTAACTTTTGGTGGTTTTATTTTATTACCGTTGTAATTTTATTAATAATTGAGAGGTTTTGTTTTGATAATATTTCAATAGGTATGCAAGTATGATTTGTTGAAAGGAAGGAGGATACGTACCATGAAAACCATTAAATAGTAAAACAGCTTACAAAACAAATAACCGTCATGCGTCGCTATTGCCGCAGCTACTTGCGCGATGTTGACGTCAATGTTGCAAATGTTTTCGAGTGCTTTGGATATGTGCGAGCGTGTGTGCGTATGCGTTTTAGCGAGTGCAGGTGCGTGCGTATGTGCAAGCCGCTATATCGACCCATGCTATACCGCACACACACACATGCACACATGCGCACATATGCGGACAGAGCGCCGCGTAGAAATGCAATGACACCTGTTGATGATTGTTGCTGTTTTTTTTTCGTTGTTGTTATATTATTGTTGTTGCTGTTATTGTTTAGCCAGTAGTGCTTTGTCTTAACCACAATTATTACTAGCAAATGTCTGCAATAAGGAATTCAAGCAAAACTGGCACAATTGATGCAGTGGCGCACGCTTGATGCATTGTGCAAATGCTCGCGGCTTGTGCAAGACGGCGGGATGCACAAGCCTCACAGGGGAGCAGGCGATGCTTACGGTGCGTGACGCGACGTGCTGCGAGCAATAATCAAGCGGCCGGTGTCGTCTCTAAGGCTCATAAACGAAAAATTTACGATGCAGAAAGAGTTGAAAGAGTTTACACCACTCGAACGCTTACGGCGCAATTCGAACGCGTTCGTTGAACAAGAAATCCGCAAATGAATATATGAAATTGACGTATTTTATAACGTTTCATTTAGGTACACTCAGGTAAGTGCTGGCTACGCGTTTGGTGTGTTGCTATACAAACATACATAGACTCGTAAGTATTCGATCATTTAAATCACACTTATGCATACTACTCGTACTGTTTTTCATAACGTCATATTTTTAATCACTGAAATTGCATATTCGTCATTAACTATTGTTTAATACCCACATATGTACAAGTATTTATGGAAGCGCTCGAGTGCTGTTTAGAACCTAGCCGATCATGCTATGCTTGCGCGCTTGCGAGTATGCACATGTGTATGTACACGTGTGAATTGAAAAAACAAAAAACATACGCAAGTAGAGTGGAGGAATCCGTCGCATTGCGTTGATAGAAGAATGGTAGCACCTACCTACCGCGATGACGATTTAAGTGCTCAACTAGCGGTGTAGTTGATTGAAACGCAGTTGAAATAGCTTATGTCGGGTTGTCACGGCTCGGTGGCTAACACTTACTCGTATTATTGCAGGTTGGGTGCGCTGATGTGTTTTTATCATTTTTCGGAATTTCAATTGTGAGCAATTGGCTTTGATTGGCACCACCCATGACTGTGCAACGGCATACCATGTCTATTTGCTGCCACACCAGATCAAGTGTCTACGCCTTTAGAAATTTCGGATGCAACTAAGCGGTGCGCACATTAGGGAGGTTGGTAGCCTTAAGTATCTTCACTGTTTGGTTCCTAATACTTGTATAAGAGCCTCAGTAAATCAAATTTTATGTGCAACTTATGATAACAGTTATGAAGCGTCTTTTGAAAACATTATTGTAATATTGTAAATTTAATTTATTAATTAATTTTGGCTTAACTCTGAATCATCTTAAAGATGCTTTTAAAATTTAATATAGATTTATAAAGTATAAAAAACGACCCTTTAGCATGATTGCTAATTATTTTGCACAGTATTTGTACAGATTTTAACATTTTTAAAGCTCCTTATGTAATCTTTGACATTTCAAATGCCCCAGAGATCGTAAAGAGAATTCATGTATGACACTCTAGTGGAATTGAAATTGCCATATTGCCCCACCCTTGAAATAGAGGCTCTGAATTCTTCACTCAATACAGGCGCGCCAAAATGTGTGAAAACACCCATACAAGTGTACAAGCATGGGTAGATAGCAACGTGGGTGTACGCGCGGATGATCAAATGCTAGCGACGGCAATTTCGATGACATACAAAATGTTTTTTATTATTATGAATGTACTGAATATACAAGTACGTGCTATAGAATATAATATAAACAACACACTTTGACTCGTACAATAATGTGGTTCACACAGTTCCTTCGATTTGAACAAAATTTCGATTTAATCTTCAATCTAGGAAGAGAAAAGAGATCTCCGATTTTTGTATAAACGCTAAATACATAAACGACAACTTAGCCGCATTTGAGAAAAGTATAGTGCCGCTATTTGTTTCGAGAATCGTGTGCACATTAGTGAATCTTAAACCTATTTATCAAATGAAATGAAAAATTTAATAAAATTTATAGAAATTTCAAAGAGATATGCACAAGGATTCTTTATTACCCAAAGACGAAGGATATACATATACAAGCATAGGCGAGCAGTTAGCATGAAATATGCGGAAATATGCTAAACATTCTCATTATTACACAATTTTTTGGAACCACAATTAGATAAACACAAATCAATTGGTCATAACTCTATTCCATGCTCGGTGCGATTGTTGCACGTGTTAACAACCGGTATGAGATTAGCAAATGCTTTTTGCGCCACAATCGAATCACGGTTTAGCGCGACGAAAGTTGTAAACAACACACTTCAATTAGCCGGCGTCGATCACAACATGCTTCTGCCGTATTTGTTGATTTAAGCGCGCGAACGTCACATCGACTTGCAGAAAAATATCGAACTGGACGCCTCGAATGCGCTTACATCGCAGCCGGGGCCATGAATTGGAAACGGCAACGCCAGCGATCGCTGCTGTATGAAGAGCTAGCCAAGTTCCCCACACCCTCATGGCACAAGCAATACACCGCCACGCACACACATACATGTTGCATACCGCGCAGCAAGAAAGGTAAATACGAAAATTTACATCAAACTCACCACACTACCTGTCGGCATGACGGCGTGTCGGCTGTGCATTTAATGTGGGAGCACATCTTTTTCAACTCTTGTTGTTGCTGCATCATGTTTTTGTTGTCATTTTGGTTTAATCATAAATATGTAAGTATATACTTACATAGGTGTTACGTTTATACATATATGCGAATACGAATGTATAGTGGTTGCATGTTCGCGATGCAGTGGTAAACATAGACTTTAGCATCCGCTTTGAGGTCTTATGTGAGCCGGTAAGCCGTCGGCAGTCAAGAACTACCAGCAGCTGTTGTCATTGTGCTTTTGCTTTTGTTTTGCTTCCGACGCTGTTACAGCACTGTTATTGCTGTCCACTGATCGGTTGATTACTTTACCGTTGCTTAAGGTGGAGCTACGCCAAATGACGACAAGTTTGAGCTCGCCTCATTTGGTACGACAACGAACGAAACGAAAGCGCCAAGATGACGTTGAGTGTATTGGTGTTCCTGTTGCTGTTGGTTGGTGATTGCTCCGCTCTTCACTAAATATTTTTCTGTTGTGTGTGCATACATAGGTACATGCATACATATGGACAATTTGTTGAGGGTGATATATTTGACGAATGCCGATGATATATATAATATTTTCACACACAATTAAGGCTTTTCGTCGCGCACATACATCTACATTATGTACTAATTTATTAGTGACGATTCTAAAGAACAGCACAATGATCGTTTTTCGTGTTTTTCTCTTTTTTCGCTACTTCATGCGGTAATTACAAATACACGTAAGTCCGATAAGTCAGTAATTTAATATTCCAAATCTTAATTTTTGAAATAATGCATTTAATTAATTTTTTTATGGAGTTCATTTCAATGAAAATTCATGTGTAGTTTTAAAAATACAAGAATACATGCACATATGGTGTATATATGTATATATAATATTATATATGCACATGAGACTAGCTCTGTTGTATGGTTTTTCTTGCGGCATTTCATCTAACGGCGATTTGAGCATTTAATTGACTGATTGCATTGGCTGGCTCTGGTCAGATTGTCATGTTCGGAGTCTTTATTCATTTCATTATTAACAGTCGTGGAGCAATGAGTATGTTCGTGTGTATGCACGCATGTTCATTTCATTTTTTGATAACACCAACGCATTCACGAGCGTTTTACCACGCTTCGTTAGTCCAAAAATGTTTGCATAGGTTGACAGGTTGATCACTGATGCTTGATCAGTCAAGTATGTATGTACACACACTGCCACCGTTCATTGTTCAACCAAAGCACATTTATTTTCTTTTTATTTTTGGTCAGATATTTTTGTCATACTCGCCTTATGCATCCAAAGACGCTCTGCACGATTTTGTTGTCTCTGTCAATTCGGCATTAAACGCATGTGGCGCACTCTTCACAGCATCACCGTTAAAAGTGTACGGCCAGTCGTTTCCATTCATCTGCCTTGGTTGCGGCATAAACCTACAATTGCAAACGTGTGATGTGTGTACATACATACATATGTACACGAATGAGCTTACGACCGTCCAAAGTGAACTAATCCATTGTGGTGGCAACTCTTGCGCTCGCTGCAGGCCCGCCGTCATAGCGCTTAGCCAAGCGGCGTAGGAAAGCAGCGTGCTCCAATTTTATTCACATCCATCGCCATTTTTGGCCACTAACCCATCAGAACAAGTAGTGATCAGAAATCAGTAGTGATGTACTAGTTGTACATGTTTTTATTGGAAAGTCCGAATTTATTTAAATTTTAATTGAAATTGTCGTCGTTACCGCTGTCGAGCGACGTTATCTGCATTGCCTGGGAGCTGAGAATGAATGTGTGAATTTGTGGATTTCCCACGCTCTATATTTTGTATTTATTGATGTCAATGAAGTTATTGTTTACTTAATCGTAATAAGCGAATACAGAAACCACTCAGTTGCCCGATTTGGCAAACATTTGCTTACGGCAAAATGGAGTGTTGGCCTTTATTTTTGTCTGCAATCTTTGCTTGCAGAAGTTGCGCGAAAAACATTTGATATTTATCTGAAAGTTTAAACCGATGAATTAAGAAATCATAGAATCAGCATAGGACGAAAATATATATTTGTTTTTATAGCTAAGCCAATGGGCTCTCAACAAGTGCAGTTGTATAACAGAGTCCCGCTTTAGCACTGAAGAGAGTCTCACTTTTTGATGTCGAACACAGCGTACGTTTTAGTAGCTTTTCTTCGAAGGGTCGAATATTCCTTATTTTTAATTCTAGTAGTAGACTCCAGCATAATACATATTCATCTAGCTGGTAAGGCGAAGAATCCCTATATTATCTCAGTATGCGCTTACTTATTTGTCTGTAAGGGTAGCTCGTCATTATGAAGCTATTTAACTGACAGCTCGGAGGACAAACACTCATTTGGTCGTCGCATATCATTGCTGAAAAAATAATGGGATGTCAATGCGCCCAAAAGAAAAACTACTATCCAATAAAGCAAAATAATGGTTACGTGGACAAGTTTTAAATCTTCACAAAATAAATATTACTACACAATTTTATTTAAACAAATTATATTTATATTCCAGGAAAACTGACGATATCCAGAAAATAAGTATAAATAATTGATTTTTTCGAAATCTATTTCAACTTGCTCCAATTCGATTAAAAAAGGCAAACAATCTGCCTACATATGTACATATGTATATGTGTATGTAAACATGCTAATCGCTCTGCTTGCCAAGAAGTTCGTGTCTTAAGTCCTTTGATTTGTATGCTCATTGTGACTCAGAATGTGGTGCTAAGAAATGGCACTGAATCCGGCAGACAAGCACTTGAATTCTTTCAACGCGATGAACAAGTAACTGCATTGTAATTGCTGGAAAAAATTCAATGTATTTATATGCAGCGCACAAATAATCGAATGGCGCCTATTATTGGTCGTACATCGTCGTCTATCGACTATTTGACGAGATACGGTACCTGAGTTCACTAAGCTCATGGCGAAGAAATTACTATTTAGACACCTTTGAAAGCAATTTGCAAAGAGCGTTTACTGAATAAATTATTTCGTTTGCATAATAGAACTAACACAGTAGATCTGCACAGCCAAAGACCAAGCGTCGAAGAGTTCCCTGCACTGGAAAAGCAAGTTACACGTATTTACATCGTCGATCCGCGCTTGTGGTTATGTGATTGTCATTGCAAATGTTATTTTTATCTACAATAACGCTTTGATAATTACCTCCTCCTGCTGGTGGGTTTGACTTACACAGTTCGAAAAAAATAAAAAATAAAAATAAAAAATTGAGCTTCATGCATTGATTTGAGTTTACAGAGTATATATTAGCGTTAGATATGGACTTATTCAACTTAATTGACTCCTTCATTTGTGTTTATAACGCAAATACTAATGCATGTACATACAGTTTCGAATATTGCCCAGTACTTCTGGGAAGGGTGGTAAATTTCCACTGGTGGCATGCTGAATTTTTGAAGATTCTCTTAACACGTTTGGCAAGGGCGCTTTCAAGGAAATCCAAAAGCAAAGCACTCATCCACACTGAACGGCGGGAAAACTGGCAAATATCGCACAAGTAAAACGATAAATCGTGCCGATGTTGAACTTTGTGCGATTTTCCCAAGAACTAGGTGCGATGTGACTAGACGGCGAAGCTGAGAAATGAATAGCGAAATCGCAACATTAGACCAGTTGTATACAAACAAGCACACATATTTATATGCGTATATATGTACATCAAAGCAATTTGAACGTTTGATAAATAAACAACGTGATCGCTATTGTAGCAAGAGTACGACGGTTTATCGACAGATTTATACGAGAAAGATTTTCGATTTATAACAATAGTTTAGTATTAATTTCGGAAGTTTACGAAGGAACTTTGGCCAGAATACGCTAGATAAAAACGGGATTAGTTGAGGAAAATGTCATAGTTGCTTATTAATTGTAATTTGGAGGAATGCCGCTGAGTTGACAGTCCTTGGCCGCATACAAATTAAAATAGGCAGCAAATAATAGTTTTTGTAAATTTATTATCGCTTAAGTCATTTAGAACGGGTGTACTGACACTATAAGTCCATATGTGCATCTATTTCCTAAAATCTCTGTATTCAGTTGTGTATGTCCCCTCTGCAGGTGGTCATAGTCTCATGGGTCTCTTTCCTTAATTAAGCGTCATTGAATTCAACTCGTTGTTGTTTTTGTATTCGGAAATCAACAGCACACCATACACTTCTGAATCTTGACCTCGTTTCGATTTTTGAGTTATTGCCCATCAAACAGATTTTAGTTTTCAATGCAAACATTGCAGACAACTACATAGAAGTACACCAATCAGGCTCGAAATAGACGAAAAGCGCTTCGAACTTGCAACAAATGCTCTAATTCATGCATGTGGCAACGCAACAAAAAAGTGATCGAATTTGGCAATGGTTTGTTTGAACCACTTTCAAATTTTGAGGGTTTTTTTGTTGTTTCAGTGTTGTAGAAGGAACTCAAATTGGTTTGGACGAGGAGAAAATACGATTCGTTTTATGCCTTTATGTTTGTTGTTCCTACAGTGCAACAATTGACACGCAACAAATTGTCAAGTACGGCATACGGAATTCCCACACTCTTGATAATAACCTGCATCAAAACGCATATGAAAAGCTCTAAGGAAAATAGAAGCATATCAAATATTCGAATCTGATGATAATTGTGTCGTAACATATTTAAGGTTGAAGCGACTACTGTCAAAGTATCTGCACAATTGCATCATGGTTTTATCAGCGAGTCTTGTATATAATGGCAGGACCTACAAATTTGATATTTTAACTGAAGAGCAACCGGTTTAAGAAATTCTGATCGATATTAATTAAAAAATGAAACCGAAGTAAGTCCTGCCTCGTAGTGCGCACACCTAACCTATATTTTCTTGCTGAGGCTCCAGGTTTTAGATACATTTGTATACTTCTATGTTGTAAGTGTGTGAATGTGTGAAATGAAAATAAAGCGAGGCTCATACAAGCGAACGGAGTCGTTGATAACAAGCAAATCTTAACCTCTGTAAGGTGGTTAGTGTCATGCGGGTGTTTTTTGCTTGCAGGACATAAGTTGTGTGGTGTTCAGAACGAAGTGATGTGTAAGTGTTACTCTTGTTTAGCAAGGCAACTGTTACTTTTGTTCTTAAGTTCCTAGGAAGCAGTATAGCTCAAAAATTACTGGAAAATGAGTGAAAATTTTCTAAATTATCTCTTATATATCGCCTAAACGATAATCACAAATTGTCTGTGCGAAACTTATATATTCACGCGCTGTATAAGTTTCACCCACTTTTGTGATAATTTGTACAAGTGGGTAAAGTTTGTGCAAACTATTTGTGCTAAGTTTTAACACTGTGCATATAAGTTAGGCTATGAACATTGCCAGTATAACACGGCAACCCTAATATTTGACAGCTGATGAAACAAATGGGATAATTTTTTACTAACTTTTAAGACCAAATTTCAGCACGAATTGTTTAAATTGCTATTTGTATGTTACTAACTCAAAAATTCTAAGTGATATACTAAATTACATTAAAAAATTGAAAGAAAATGTAAATACAAACATTGTTGAAAAAGTAAGTAAACATGTACATGCGTTCAACAACAAGAGAACCAAGAAATAAAAATCAATAGTGATTTGTTCCTATGTAAAATTTTGTGAATGTGATCATTATATACATATACTATCCACGTGAAAGTTTTTATTGATATTATTTTTTATTCTTGGCTTTTGTGTATTTTCACATTCGATAAATTACTATATATACATATATGCAAATGATGAATAAGCCCAAACGCCTTAAGCTCTGCTGCAGTGGCAGATTCTGCTGCCGCATACAATTGACCATTGCCTTCTAACCAGCTCCCTTGCATTGACCGTTTATTTAAAATGCTATAGTTTAAACTACCACAAATACTCATAACATTTATATAACCTTTTTTATTTTTAGATTAATGGTATTCAAGAAATCGCTGTAAAACTAATAAATCAATCGGATTTAGCCATTGACGGGATCTCAAAAATATTTATCTCCATTATTTTTCAATGGGTAATATTTGTATTTCATATTTAAAACTGTTTTAAATAATTGTTAGAAGCTTTTATTCCTACGAGAAAACAAAATAGTATTGTGTTAAGGACCCCTAGCTAGTCACAATAATGAATAAATTTGAAAATGTATCCATACATACATATTTGACAGTAACCACTTAACATGGATTGACTAGATAATAGGAATATAAATTTTATTGATCTTATGTCGCTTGTATCTACTTATACGGATAAACTGTATTTATATCCGGACGAAGACTCAATTCGCCATTATTCCTCAAACTTATTGGGGAATATTTTCTGTAAAAAATGTTGGAACTCAATTGTTTAATGTTGCTTAATCAACAAAAGCAATATATATATTAATATAATTCTGTCTATACTTCTTGTTTTAGATCTCCTATACATTTTATTGTATTATTCGTCAGTTAACTATGCGTTTGTTATCAGCGAAAAATTTCTTTTCACTTTCAAATTTCCCATCGCACTTTTCTTTGTTGAGACATGCTCATGAGAAGAAATAGTAAATAGTACTTAAGTACTTTTTTTTCGAATACATTATTGATAATAGTTGTGGCGACTGAATACAAAGAGAACATTTTTATTCATAATTATTGTTGCTCTCGAATATCACTACACATTGTCATTAAGCTTGTTTTGTCTATCAGCTAATAGTGTTGGATGACGAAACTGCTCGCAAGTCGGAAGTGGTCTTTACTGCTGAGCACACACGCTCGGTTTATTTTTACGTAAAAATTGTCGAAATACGCTGTGACGAACTTTAATCCAATCGCTTACTGCATACAATCACACAACCAAATATATTGTGTAATTGCTGGTTTACATTGTACATAAATACAGTGTTAGTTACAGTCATTTGTGCGTATACATTTTGCAAATTAATAAATAGTATACATTCTGACTGTTTGTTTACTGTGGTTTTATTGTACATGAAAAATATCACTTAACATTGTAAAATGATTTGTAAGCGATTTGATAATTGTGTTATACTGTTTACATAATACAAGTATATACTTATGTATCTACTTCTGTATTTGCGACTGTGAGTTGCCAAATTTTCAATGACTGTATCATCTATGCTGATTTTTTGACAAGTTGTGATAAGCTTACTGAGTCACTTCTTGTGAACTACAAAAATACATATAACTCCATATGAATAGTTTCGGAAGTTTATTTCGTTCATTATCCATTTCTGGAAACAAATCGTGCAATATTCTTTATTGCTAGTTTGATACAAAAAAATTGTTTACACAAAATTACTTATAAAAAAATTTAAAATAGTAATACCAATGCGAATTAAGTTTTTAATACATATATATAAAGTATAAAAAATTAAGTTTAATACAAATGCTAGTACAAATAGCAATCCTAAAACTGCATGACAATTGACTAGAACTTAAATATAGTTATGACAAGTTAGAATCCATTTGAATAAGTATTATACCATATATATTAGTGTGGAGTTTATTGTCACTGACACTTTGTAGATATATATATGAAAAAATAAATGACCTTGAACTTTTACTAAATGTAAAATGCTAAATTAATATCAAAGTAATAAAATAATATTTAACTTATGAATTTCTTAATTTTCTATTTCTAGTTATGTTTTTAACACGTAGACGGAAGTTCTTTAAAAGGTGACTCTCACAATATCATATGTGTGCTACAGCAATTCACACAGGCGAATGTCAGTAATAAAAAACATAGTTATTTTTGAATTTACATCTGTTTGTGAAGAGTATATAATCCTTCCTATAATATAAATTTAAAGCCCAATTCCATTTAAATACCTTGTTTGTTGTTTTTAATAATTTTATAGTCAAGAATTTATTTATAACTTGGTTAAACAGCAATTATAATATTCAAGACATTGTATTCCTAAGCGTGACCTTAAAATATTTTTTATGGTAAAACAAATCATTACTTACATGTAATTTTTATAACTACTTATTTTTCTAATTTAAATTTGCGTTGGCATAATGCTTAGTGAATGAAAAATGCTGCAGTGCAGGTATATTATAAGTAATTTTGTTTAATTCAAACGAGATAATATTAGACTGGATAGAATTGTAGGCTAAATACAAAACTAAAGAAAACATACGCTATGTAACCTCAAAGTTCCCGCAATCACCCGGTCCATAGTTTGTTCTTCTTTCAACGGCTTTAACAAGAATTAATTATTTTTTTCCCGACTAGTTACAATTAATTTATACCGCTAGTTCAAACTTAATAATTATGACAGTTTGTACACTACATGATGTGTGTTTGTTTTGGGTTCTGTTAATTAATGTATTCAATAACAATATTCTCAATTACAATATATATGTGAAGTTGAAGTCTATTTACATATTTGATTTTTGTTCACGCTTATTGTTCTAATATTATTACATGCTTAAACCTATATTAATTTTTCGTTTTAATAAGTTTTAATTAAAACAATTTGTTGTATTTCCAATGTCATAGAGATTGCTAATAAAACAATTATCTTTCTTCTCTTTTCCATGTTGAATTCATCTCCATAGTAAAAATTGCTGACAGGCGCAGTACGATTGTCTGCACTTACAAAACAAAAGCTCATTAACTTTTTGAATAACGAAAAAATCGAAAAAGAAACATCCCGTACTCCCATATCTTCAATCAAATAATCACTCGATTACAGTTTGACGTATATAACAAGTACATCTGCATATTTAATCCAAATAGTCGAAAAATTTGAAAACACCTGTTGTGATTCCCAAAGTCCTCTCTTCAAAACTTTTTTATTTGGTGTGGCATAGCAGTCATTGCTTAATTTGGCTGTTAATATTATTCCTCCTCAAGTTAAATGTTGGGTTTCCATTCAAACGTGCACCATATCTATGAAATTTGATGTCATTGAATAAAGATTTTCAACCATTGACTGATAATCCTCCTGCAACTTCATTTTACAATTTACAAATATATACAAACTTTTATACAATGTACGAATCATATAAACTCTTAAACGTCATATTCCGTGCTTCAGTCATTCCGGGAGCATTAATGTTAATTTGGCTGACTGGGATGTAAGTACGCTAATTCTTTATACATTTAGATACATACATATATATTTTGATTTTTAATTGCTAACTGTAATGTTCTTCGTTACAATTAATTTGTTATATGTTTTTTTCTCATGCTTTTTATATCAAAAGAATCGGCAGATAAAACTTATCTAACCAATCTCTATCGCGGTTGCTAGTCCTCTTTATATCTATTTTTATTATTTACCAAAGTTAACCTATGAAATGTGCTATTAGTCCTTATTTTTTTCCCCGTCGCTTTGTAAAATATGTCTGCATGTACAGTATTCGCACGGTTATGTACTAATTCAGGCAATCGATAGTGCTCGTGCCTCTACTGAATATACCACATTTTGCTTGACACATATAACTTCCTTATTCGCTTTTGTACGAAATATCTCATTACTATCTGGATATACATATGTACTTGTCGTGCACAATTTAGTCTACGATTAAATGCTATCCTTTTATTCATTCTACAGTTAGCGAATAAATTATTTTTTATTTATTTATCATTCTTATTTTATTTGTTATTCTGATACACGCATCAGTAAGTACTCCTAATGTGTAACATTGAGGTGTTTGCCATTCATTAAGTTTCGATTCAAGTTTGACTCTAAATCCTCCTCTTTACTCCACAGAATCTCACTTACTGTGGTACAAATATGTATGCTGGTATTCCTCATAATATTCGTTGGATTCCCATTATTATTTCGTTATTCTATAACATTACAAAGAGGGATTCTCTTTCTCACGTTCAGTAAGTATTTGAATATTTTCTCTGTCAAATTATTTAAATTTCAATAGCACAACTATTTAATGTTACACAATTTTTAACGAATAGCAATCCAGAAATGTTATTATTTTATAAATAACTTTTTTACACGGAAAATATTCTATTCCTTTGCAGTTACATATCCCAAGGACCTTGATCTGTCAAATCCAGCCAGTGTGGGGCTTTTTGGTACGAGATCTCTTAATCTTAGTGTGCTCGATCCCGATGCTGAGGAACGTCATGATGGCGTGCGCATTGGTGTCTGGCATGTGCTGCCGTTACACTTAGCTAAACGCTTTGCTAAAGAACTGAAAATCGATACGGTATACTGATTTTTGTTAAGAATCATGCATAGAAATTTGTATAAAATCCTATTCCCGCACAGCAAGTGCACGATGAATTAAAGAACACAACATTTGACGATGACGAAAGTTTGGACAAGCAAATGCCTACTCTGAAATCAGAATTCCCCGATGTAACCGCTGAGAATGAAGCGCTCTTTTATGAGCGCATGTTGAAACTTCCGGGTATCATTGTTCTATATCTTCATGGCAACACCGCTTCTCGTGGCTCGGGACATCGTGTCGAGATGTACCAGATTCTGCGCAAACTTGGCTGCCATGTATTGTCTTTGGATTATCGAGGTTATGGAGATTCCGATCCCGTTCCACCCACCGAAGAGGGAATTGTACGAGACGCCCTAACAGTATATGAATATATTAGAAATGTAACAACGAATCCTATATTCATATGGGGTCATTCTCTGGGCACTGGTGTGGCATGTCATTTATGTTCACAGTTAAGTTTGAATTTCAAAATAGATCTACCTCGTGGAGTGGTATTGGAGGCGCCTTTTACGAACATCCGTGATGAAATAAGATTGCATCCATTCGCTAGGGTGAGATAGTCAATATACCATATAAAACTGTTACATTAACATTGAATTTAATATTTTTTCACAGCCCTTTAAAGATCTGCCTTGGTTTGATTTGACGATTGCGCGTCCTATGTATTCGAACAAGTTGCGCTTTGAATCGGATAAGCACATCGGCGAATTTCGGCAGCCGGTAATGATACTCCATGCGGAAGATGATTATGTTGTTCCATTTGAACTTGGGTACAAGCTATATCGAATAGCTCTGGATACGCGTGCAAAAACTTGGGGGCCTGTTGAATTTCATCGATTCAATGGTGTTGCAGGTTACGGACATAAGTTTCTTTGCCGCGCACCTGAACTACCGGAACTTGCAAAACAATTTTTCGAGACTTATCGCAACGAAGACTTTTAAAGACTTTAAAATGTTTAAACATTGGCTTCTGTTATTTCCCCCCATAAAGTGCATATGTATCCTGCAGTATTTAAGGTCTTACAGCCAGGAATTCACATCCGCCCGAGTTCACTCAAAAAAAGCTTACAAGCTACTGGAATGCTTTTTATTTCAAATAGTTTTGTCGTAGATTTGTGTATATGCATATACATGTACAATAAGGACTTTAGTATTATTTGTGCAAATTAATTATTTAAAAACATAGACATAGAAATGGAGACATTTATTAGTCAGTTACGGGTGCACTTATTTGCGACTGTTTCATTGTATACATATATAAAAAAGAGAAAAAGGGAAAGGAATACATGCAAGGACGATGTGTAGAGATTGCAACTAATACAATTCAAACTGTGAAAGTTCGTATTATTTATTATTGCTAAAAGTCGTGATTATGCTAGAGGTTTAACCATTACCAAAAAGGTAAAATATGATAACATTATGAAAATATTATTTTTTTGTAAATAAATATAAAATAAATACAAAATTTTTACTTTATAGTAATTCCTTTCTACTCATGCGTTTATTTAAAGTTATTTGCGCAATCTGATAGAACAAGTTTGTGATACGTTTTATTAAGCCTAGTGGGGTCTTTTTATAGTTGCCACTTGGTGCGAAGTAAGTGCACTTGCTCTCTTGTTTGAATACATCGAGATCTAGCCAAAAATACGCTCACATCACTTTGATTTTTTACTAAATTTTCATATATTTTATTACTTTTATGTAATACAAGAATTATATATTCATTAACAAATCAAGAAGTGATTGCTAATGCAACCATATAGTCAGTTAATACTTATTTGTGAAACCCTGTGTGGGTACAGAAAACGATGATTTTTACAACCCTAATTGCATCAATTGCTTCTTGATATATTGTGGTTGACAGCGGAGGAGCGGTTTGTATTAGTGAGTGACGGAAGGAAATCTAGTTTCGGTTAAGATTTTTGGGTTAATTTTAAAAACAAATATTTAAAAGAAAACGTTAAAATTGTTAAGTGATTGCAAAGTACAAGTGATAATGTGTGTGTCTGTGTAGCAACCTTCCTACACCTCCTTTCATTCGTAGAAAAATTGGGGAAATAGGCGGTGCAGTACTATAGCAGACACAAACACATTGAAAACGATGTGCATATACGTATATGTAAATGTGTACCCATACGAACTGACTAGTCCAAACAAAGCGGCGTTGGCAGCACAAACCACAACCAGGAAGAAACAAGGAGATAAAATGACACCACGGCTTCAGTACTTCCTAAAACCAATAAAAAGCACTTTTAACTAAATTCTTTAGAATGTGACCTTTTCGTAAATATATTTTTCGTAGTTTAGTTGTGGTAATAGATATACTTCGGTTAGACAGCGTTTTATAGAAAAACAGTATCTATCTATATATCTATAGCGCAAATTTCCTGGCAGCAGGAATAAAAAATAGCAATAAAGTTATCGGGGAGAACGTTGAGACAGAGAACTTAAAACAAGATGTGTTAAAGGGAACGAAAGGAATAGGAACGTGTTGAGGGTGTGGGTGAAGGAAGAGAGCGCACTTCTACACAGGTTGCGGCGAAGAGAAAATTCGCCCTTTTCTGTGTATAAAACTTCTAATAAGTACTTCCCTTTGCTATTTGTGCATTTTAAGTTAAAGTTAAATATTTCGGCGAGCTGTGATGAATATGCCAGCAGTATTCTGTTATAAGCGGTGAAATGTGCAAATTTATAAAAATGTGTTAAGGGAAGGATAGGGTGTGTTTTTTGCGAGCCGAATAAGCGCTCAGTGCAGTCGGGTTGGGTTTTCTTCATTCTAATTTTTCAATTTTTTTTGGTGGCATTAGCGCAAATCAGCAGCAGTGGCACAGTGGATGATGGTGTTGGGTGCGCATAGTCAACGTTAAAAAGGCATTAAATTAAATAATCCTAAGAGAGATGGGAATAAATTTATGAAAACAACGCCAAACATTTAACTTATATCGAAAAGTGAGAAGTATAAAAAATTCAGTGCTAAAATACAAATACAAGATATGAAAAAGTAGTGAAAATGGATATTTATACAAAGGTGTTTCAAATAAAAAAGTTGTGATGAAAAGGTAAATAAATTATTTGTGTGGTGTTTGGTGTAAAGCATATTACAAGGGTTCTTTTTAGCCCCCTTGCGTTCAAATACGAAGTTTGCGGTGAGGAATTTTAGAAGAAATTACAAGATCTGATTATATTTGCAAAAAAAGCTACCCCCTATACATATTGTATTAAAGGATTAAAGAAAATGATATGGTAAGTGTATAAATATACAAACATTATGGTGCATATTATTGTTACACTATACACAAGTTATATTACATAATTATTATTGTAATATTCCAAATCAAAATAATTTACTTAGGTTCCTGCATACAAAAATGTATTGCTACATATTTTTAAAATATTTTTTTTCGTGTTCAGAGCGAAAATTCCGTATCGCAAAGAGCCAAAAACAGATAAATGTGTGTGTCCATTACCTGGATTGCGTGACGAATATGTGTGTGTTTATTATCAGAGCTGACGCCGCACCGCGCATGTGTCTCAGTCTCTCTGGTTGCAAGCAGAAAGTACGCATATGTATGTATGTACTAACATACGTACAAATTATCTATGTGATATTTATAAGGACCTTTTCGCCTCCTCTTTTATTTAGCTCTTCCTTACACGCCCTTTTTCTCATGTGTTCACCTCTCTGTTTTTATTGCTCTTTCAGCTGTTACTTAGTTTGGTTTTGGTACAAATACGAAATAATAATTTTTATTAAATTTATTTATAACCCTGCGATTCGTTTGGATCAGTTTATATGTTTTTTTTTTTTTCAATTTTCGTATGATCTCAATTTATTTATCTAAGTACGTACATATGTACATACTCATGTGGATTTATGTTTATAGAATTTACATACATATGTAAATTTCGTTTATTTTTTGTTCGTGTCAATATTCCTAAACTAGTTGTTAATATTTTGAATTGAAAACTATAAGTTTTTTTGTATTAAAACCAAATTTATAACTGATTGACGTCCTCTTACATAAAATCATTAAAAATAAAGTGTCGTACGTAGTGAAGTTTATGCTTGGTACGACATTTTTACAATATAAGATTTAGTATCTGAATATTAAATAAAAAGATTCAGCATAAAAAATTGGACATCACACTTTCGGCTTGCCCTTCAAAATTTGCAATACAACAGTTAAAAAACGATTCGGCGGACTGGTTTGTATAGCGACAATATTCGTTTTTGCTATGCTGGTAAACCAGTTTTTACTCAAGTAACCGTAATATTTAAGACATCTATAAGCGTACGAGTAAAGCTTTTGGTATACACAACTCTTTCCACGGCTGCCACAGAGTATTGTGGAGTTATACAATTTTGAAGTACAAGTATAGTGCGCAATCTGAGGAGTTAAACGTCTGACTCATAAGTTTTTAGCTCAAACAAGCTTCTTGCAAGCAGCTGATATTATGCTTGGTTGCAAGTTACAGTTGTCGAATGGGAAATTGACGTATTTAAGGGCTCACATGATAAGGTCTCGAACAAAGCGCTTCAATATCGATACACACATATGTGTGTTTATATTTATTTTATTATGTTGCTAACAAATCAACTGTTGTTTACCTATTCGGGGTATGTAAGTAAAGAGATAAAATAGTATAGGGCTCACAGTTTTTGTCTGAATAAATTTTGGTATTCAACATTTTGTTGGTGAATTAAATGACAAATTTAGCAGAATATTATGGTTATTTTATCATTTATCCAGGAAGGTACCTCTTTTTTATTCCGAAATTTAATCGATTATGTTATGTTAGCCATTCAGCGGAATTCCTAAAAGCGGTATTGACAAATGCGACCAAATAAATTTTTTTACCACTCAATCGTGTGTTGTGCGACAGGCAGAGCAAAAACAAAATATTGTATTTGCATTGACGACCCCTAGTTTTGTTTTCTATGGGGTAGCTAAATAACAGATAAGATAAGTGTATTAACCACAATAATTTGTCTTTCTATGTACAATTCATTTGGTGTTTAATATTGTCTAGTAAATAATATAATAATGTTTAAAAAAATAGTCTTATGTCAACTAAGGGGATTAATTGTCGTTGCTTGGACGGTTGATAACACATCTACTGGACTGGTTGCTCAAAAATTGATTGGGGTTGGCGAGACATGCAAAAGATCATCTAAAGCTTCTTAAACACCATTACGCATATACATACATAAGTATTTACCAAACAGGATGTTTATTAATATTTAATTTTATCATTAAAACATGAGAATCGAATTGAGCCCTTGTGGATAAAAATCCGTGCCATTTTATCAAACAAATTATGGATCTTTATAATGTAGGTGACTCACTGCAGTTCTTTTGTTCAACGATAACATTTCGTTATACCACCCTTCTCTCTCCTCTTGAATTTTGTCCAACTCTTCTTTTTAAAAGCTTATGCTGCGGTTTGTCGGCCGACACCAGAGCACGCGTCCGCGCACGCGGATGTATGAGACGTGTTTTGTTTAGTAAACTAATGCATTTGTTGACTTATTGTCTTTCATATCACTTCCACTGACATTGACGCCCGCCTGCCTACCTCTCCTTCCTTATGCGTACTCTTATTCGTAATAAAAACCAATAAGGCTTATTGTCACGGCTATTCGTTTTGATCTGACCGAAGAATCGACGCAATGCCGACTACTCAAAAAGAGTTCGAGGTGAATCTGCGAATTAACAGAGAGCCATTACTGGCTTAAGTTTGATTTCAATTAGAATTTGGCACCGTAAACACTTTTAGCAGACTTATTAGCTTTATGGCATAATTAGTCGCCATTTAGTTGGCTCGCTTGCCTCATTGTGCTTGTGTTGAATAGCGATTAGGTTGCTTTGCTGTTATGACCACGAACTTTAATTCTTTAGACTTTTGATGCTTCTTTAGTGTTGCTAATATCGCGGCAACTATTAGCTAGACCTTTAAGGTAATAATTTGAAAAATTAATAAATGAAAACTACTTTAGGGATCCAAAATGGTTTGCCTGATTGATCTGTGTGCAATTTCTTATAGTGTCATACAAATTCTTGAATACACCGGTACAATGGAATATATAAAGTTGAACACAAATAATTAAAATTTTCGGAATATATACATACGTAAACCTGTATATACACACAAAATGGGTAAAAAGGTGAAAAATGCATAGATAAGCAAAAATGAAATTATGGGGCGATATCACTGGACAGTCGTCTTGTAAACTTGATGAAACGACTTCTTTATGAAGGGAGAATGGGCAACAAACAGTATAAAAAGATAACAAAAGCAAATATCCAACTCCATAGCTTGTGGCGAGAATTAGTTATGTGTGGGTAAGGTAAGCTGGTTTCAATGACTGCTGTGAAAAAGTGTGGAATCTGCAAAAATGGGGAATGCAGTAAGAAGGTAACATAACACAGGCAATGAAACATAAAACTGCAAGTGAACCAACAAACAAACAAACTTACGCT